TTCCAGCTTCAAGCGGTGGCACGCTGGAGCCCTGGGACTCTACTAACCACAGGCTGTGTGTCCTCCGCAGGCAGCATCCCGCCGTTCTCCAGGAACTTGGAGAAGGTCTCCAGGTCTCTGGCACTCTTGTACTCAATCATCTGGTGCAGGCAGAGGAGAAACATGAGACATTGGTGCTGCAGGATTGCCTCTTTGCAGGCTGAACTCCCAGGACCTCACTGCAAGCAGCATAGCCTGCTTCCACCCACCACCTTCCATGCTAGGCCTGGGCCAGCCCAATCTCCTGCTTCTGACATTGCCAGCACCAGCTTTTCCTGAGAGGTGCAAGAACCCCCAGCAGAGAATTTTGGGCTAGCCCACCCCAGGAAAGTCTCCTCCTGACCCCAACGGCGAGTGGCTCCTGCCAAGAAGCAGGAGGGGTTGTAGCTCTGCTAAAGCACTTGGTTATTTTAGTCTGTCTTGTTATAACCCTGGAGGGTCCTGTTACCCAGAGAAACATCCAGTCCCTGTTGGAATCCTACAGAGCTCTTGGCCTCAATAGCATCTTATGGCAGTGAGTGCCACAGGCTGCGTTGTGTGAAAGAATATTTCCTTTTATCACTGTTGGATTTGTTCCCTTCTGGGATCATTGATTGTCTCTTTCTTCTTGTGTTACAAGACAGAGAGCACAGACGCTCCCAATCTACCATCTCTAGAGCCGTCAGTATCTGATAGTCTGTTATTCTGTCCCCTCTTACCCACCCTCTCTCTAAGGGAACAATCCCAGTCGTTTCAATTGCTCCTCGCTTTCCCCAGCCTCTGATCCTTCTCGTCGCCCTTCTCTGAACCCCTTGAGCTCTGCATCCTGTGTGAGCTGGGGGACCAGTGCTGCACGCAATGTCCAGCTGAGGGCCTAGAATGGCTCCTTGCTGTCACCCAGCACAGCTCCAGGAGTGACCTGGAGCAGCACCCAAGTGCACCCCCATCCCAGTGGGCCCTTCCCATCCCATCCAGGCAACCCCAGCAGTACCTTCCTGTCTGGCCCAGCAGGGAAATAGTGCAGCGAAGGGTAGCCACGGATGGTGAGATTCACGATCTCATTGGCTGTTGCATCCAACTTGGCGATGATGATATTCTCATGATCTTTATACTTCTCACCCAGCTCCTCCCAGACAGGTGCCATCTCCTTGCAATGTGTGCACCAGGGGGCATCTGCCATGACAGAGAGAGGTTGTTTGTCTGCTCTGCACTGAGTGTTGTGGGGGCAGAGCACTGGGGCTGGGATGGCAGCTCCAGCACCCGGGCCAGCAGATTGGAGGAGCTGGCAAAGTCAGCAGGCCAGGGGCACACAGCACAATCAGGCTGGGCCGGTTAGAGCCTTTGCCCACCACGCATGGCAATGCTGTAGATGCTTGGGAGAGACCTAGGCACTTAAAATTATTCCCCTCGGTGTGTGGAGTCAGGGCTCCCCAGGTTCCCTCGGTGCATGGGGTCAGGGCTCTCCGGGTCCCTTCGGTGCGAGGGGTCATGGCTCCCCAGGGATGGAAGGGCTTGGAGGAGACCAACGAAGGAGCTGGACAGACTGAGTGGAGCTTGGCCAGGGCAGGATGGGACACATGCTGCAAACACCTACCAGGTGCCACCCCCCCGCCATCCTCCCCCCCCCGGGGCGAGGGGATTGGTCAGTGTGGCAGGAATTGCTGGGCTCCCTGGAGATGAAACGGTGCAGACGGGGAATCGCCTCCCC